TTTACTAGTTCATATACATCATATTAAACATTAGAAACATCTTCCCTAAGAAACTCAAAAATATTTTTTCTATATAACCAAAGAAATCATGTCTTAGATGTTGATGTCATAACCAAATTTCATCAATATTCTTCTCCTCTTTAGAGTAGTCTATTATTAAAGCTTGAGTAATCTTTTAGAACATTATAACACCAAGTCCAAGTAATAGAGATTTACTTGGTTAATATAATATCTAATCGTCTATCTGGTTCAAATGCCATTAACCATGTAATATTCAAGTTAGAATATTACCACACAAGATAAAATTAGTAAAGGTTGATGATCTCTAATAACCAGGGTCGAAGTACTATTGACAATAAAAATAATTTTTTATGAAGATGAATAAAGATATGAAACATGTATAGAATCAATGTAATATGATCTATAACATTAGAATCAATTATGCATACACTATAAGAAACATGTGTAGAAATATTTAAAAATTTATTATTATTATCCACAATTATTATCAGTGCTAAGATTTTACTAACAACATCATCTTTTGACTTTGATTAAATGATTGTTGTTGTAAGGCTTTTCTTAAAGCTCTTTTTACATAGATCATTTACCATTTTAGATATCTCATGAGTTTGTAATACTAACATTTGGTATAACCTATCAGATTATAATGACTGCTTTTATAAGTAGACTTGTTAACATCATTATTATTTTTCAGCTTGTAATGTTTAATTTAGTTTTGCTAATTTTAATTAAATTGATTTAGAGGCAAACACTAAAGTTAAAACATCATAATTTTTAGAGTCTTTTTTCAAAGTTATATAATGTACCACCTCTCATTAAACCAAAAAGTCTTCGTCTAAATCTCTTAACAAACTTGTTCAAAGTTACCATCCAATCTATTAAGAAATATGTGTGCCTTTAGTTGTTCGATGGACTTTTGATATGATATAATTTCATTAGGATCAGTCATAATAAATTTATCATGATGGTCTAACTCTCAGAAAATCTTGATTAACACTTCATAATATTCAGATAGACTTTCCATGATGTTTTATACCAAAGGTCTTTTGATTTAGGATGAAAACTTGCAACCTTATCATTTTCATCATAGAAGACTATTTATAAAGCATTCCAAATTTCTTGGCTAATGGATAAGAATAAATAAGACCTTATAATTTTAGAGTCATAAACATTGATATATATATTTCTTAACTTTTTTTATTCTTATCATATCACTTTTCATACATATTATCTTATTCTATAAAATGACTTGATTTTACCTTAAATATATAAGATTTTTTACCTTTCAATAATATACATCTCCATCAACTAAGATCAAATACTAATTTTTTATTCATTTAAAATAATTTCTATATAAAAAATATAATTAGTGTGAGTAATAATAGATTTGTCCTACATAATTCAACCTTTTTTTTCTCTCTTTTTTTTTTCAATTCAACTTTGTTGTCCTTTAAAACAAATGTTCAACTAATTAATACAACTCTAAAAAACTAACTCCTTGTTTCGTAGGATTCAAGTGACGAGTGGGTTTAGTTTTAAAGAACCATCTACCATAAATAAACAAGTAATAGCATTTCAAGATGAAGTATTCATAGTTCCATTTTTGGCAATACCAACATCAATTAAATTCCTGAATTCAAAGTCTAATTTTATTTTATGAAATATTTTTTTTTATTTTTTTTATTGAGATCGAGAATATATATAAACATTCCAAAATTCAGATGATTAAGAATAAAGTTTTTTTTTTGTGATTGAATAATGAGTTAATCAAGTGTTCATCAATTAAATCCACTTTTCATAACAAATGAAAATGATCTCTTAATGTAAGAATCTTGATACCTCCAAAAAATTTATGTTTTGGTGGATTTAGAGACCCCTCAAACATTAAAGTGAATATTTTTATAGTCAATATTTTCATAGATAAAAAATATAACAAATATGTAAAAGATCATTAAATTCTAAAAATAAAGTTGTTTGTTCTTGTTTTGATATAAAATAAATGTTATATAAAAAAATGATATATGCATGTTGAGAATGAAAATTGTGAACTTCTTTCTTGAGTGATTCATGTGGTATTTATACTTATAAACCTTGTTTTATTGCCTTAGAAAAAGAGATAGAGAGTCACTCTATCCTTATAGTATTAATGAAGGACAAGTATCACTTATATATATATATGAGAATGTAGTAGACTACGAGAGACTCTTTTACACTTAAAGGTGTATATACAAAATCTTAAGTGACTTGATATTGGGTTTAGGTCATAAAGTAAGGCGTAAAAGGTATTAGGATGTGCAATGGGCTTAAACATATAGCTTAGACTTGAGAAGTGCCAAGTATAAGCTTGGTGTTTGGGCCCAAACATGGTGTATATGCTTACATGTGTTGGGGGTAAGCTTGCCTTTAAGCTCAAACATGAGGCGTGAGCCCCCGAGCCAGATATGCACTTAGGCCCATGAACATCAGGTTTGAAAACACTTTAAAGACCACCCTTTAGGGTTTGGGTTGTCATTAAAATAGGCTTTAAACTAAACCAAAAACGGTTTAGAAAATACTAATAAATTATGGTATATCCGTAGCCTTCCAAGTCTTTGCAATATTTTTATTTTAAAGACTTTAAAAGATATATATTTTTTCTTTAATGGGATTCTCAATTTTTCCCGGTATGAGAAAATGATGGTTTATCTCAAGGTACATCACTAGAGTATTCACACATAGATTATTGCACCATAATTAAAATAATACGTATTTTAGATGACATGAAGAAACAATTTATAACAATGTTGGCTTCAACTTTAGGTATCTGTAAAAAATGGTGACATGTGTCACTAATACAATAAAGGATGAAGGAGACCTTCCACTATATAAGGATTTCCTTTCATTCCACACTTGAAGTTTCACTCTCTAAAACTTCTCTCTTAGTCATCTTACCAAGTTGCTATGGCATGTGTTCTTGATGGAGAATAATCATTTGGAGTATTTAACCTTTGTATACATCATGATAACTTAGCGTGAAATGGGGTACAAATAGATTTAAAAGATGTTTCTCAAATGTCATGCTTTTCATTATCATACCATCTATGTACCTTTTTATAATTCTTCATAGTTGGTGCTTAAAGACCTTATTTGCTATTCACTTGTATATGACCCTAAGATTTTTCAATTTAAAAGGCCATCAGTTTATAACAAAACATCCCTCTTTTGGTTATGAAATATGTTCTTTCCTTATCATGTAGGTGTATAAAGATCTAATAGTACCCTAAGTTAGTATCGAAAGAGCTAAGGAATTCAAAACCAGTTGTGAAGTCTCTAATTCTATCAATTTTAGAGAGGGGAAAACTATCATTTGGGCAAACTTTGTTCAAGTTGGTGAAGTCTACACACATTCACCACATACAATTGTATTTCTCCACCATCATCATATTTGCTAACCAATCGAGGTATATCACTTACCGAATAAATCTAGTAATGAGGAGTTTATTCACATCATCGGTTATTGCCTTTTACCTTTCAACCCTAAAATTTATCTTCTTATAACAGGTGGAGAAAAAGACTAGGTTATACTTTAATTGACATGTGACCACCTTGAGGTTGGTCCCGGGCATATCTGAATGCTTAAAAATAAATTTTATTTTTTAGATTTTAAAGAGCTTTGTCAAGGCTTGCTTTTTCTTTGGTTCTAAAATGGATTTTGTCTTTGAGGTTGTCTATTTTTCCTTAAGAGACATATCCTTCAACTTTTCAGAAACCTCAATCATTATCTTTATTCGTTCTTTTCCAAGACCTTGCTGATATACTACCAAGGCCTTATTATCTTTCAGATATGAAGAGGCACATTTCCTAGAGGATTTTTGGTTTCCCATATTATAGGCATGCTAATGATCGTTTTATAATGGCATTGTAAACTAAACTCGTATCAATGACTATAAAGGTTTGCTAAAGAGCTAAACACTTATGATAAGTGATAATAGTAACAAGTGTCTCTAAGACACCCTTCATTAACGTGCTTGAATCTATGATTCTAATGAGAGGAGTCTTCACAAGAGTTAATCTTAAAGGATTTATCTTTATTTGTGTTATTATCTCATTGAAAAGGATATTGACTGCTCGACTTTCATCCACTAACTCTCTATAAACAAGATGATTAGATAAAATAGTGGAGATGACTACAACATCATCATGGAAAAAAGTTATGCCCTTCATATATTCAGGAGTAAATGTGATGGGATCATGTCATGCATTTAAAAGGTGGGTAGTAGTAAGAACTTGCTTCCTATACTTTTTTTTGCACTTCCCTTGTCACCCCTTGTTGAGGTGTCATCCAAGATAATATTAATCTCAGGTAGTGCTTGGTTATGTTAGCTAGGCTCTTCCTTACCTTGTTCGGTACAGAAATTCCTCTTTATAAACTATTGGATATAGCCTTTGGCTATAATCCACTCACTTCTTTCTTTAAAGTTAAGCACTTTTCTATATCATGGCCCCTGTCTTAGCGGAATATGTAGAATTTCCCGGGATGCAAGTGTTTGGAGTTACCTTCATAGATAAGGTATACTGGACAAACTCTTTACCCCTAATAGTAGTAAATACCATAGTGATAATAGTATTAATTAGGTCTAACTAGAAAAATAATGCTGCTTGGAAGGCCTTTTCACTTGGCATTCTTTATAAAAACAGGGAGATTCATAACGTAGCACATTTGCCTTTTTCACCTATATATGGTTCTTGATAACTTGCTTAATCTTAAATAGATTTCTATCTCGCAATGCATATAGCTCTCTACACAAAATATTCTCCCTTACTTCACTTATAAGGCCTTTGAGATCATTGATTTAAGCAACTTTTTTATTTTAAGTATTTTCTTATTGAATCTCTTCAAATATGCTTATGTGGATTTGCCCTCTCACTGGTTAACCCAAAAAAACTTCGTGAAACTTCACTTGGAGGGTATAATTACACTGAAATGCACCACATTAATCTGAGGCAAATATATCATACATATATATTAATAAAATGGAATGTGATAGGTCATAAGAGATTTTTGTATATCTAAGATGTAAATAAAAAAATCACAAGGAACTTGGTGCTAGGTCTAGGCTATAAAGTACGGCTCAACAGGTAATAGGATGTGCAATGAACCCAGACCCGTTGTGGCCTAGACTCGAGAAGTGACACCATGATTATTTTTAATAGCTATTAACATGAGACTTTCCAAGACTATTAAATTACAAAAAAGAAATGCCTCAACCATGAAATGTGACTGCTTCTGGTACCTTCTAATGAAGAGGCCTTTGTGCCTCTGGAAGGTTTTCAACATATATGTCATGGAGCAGTCTGACATAGTCATTAACCTTGTCATCTGTCCAATCATCAGTTTTTATTGGCCGGAGATACTTGACTGTTATAGGCGCTGGCCGAACATGTAAGCCGCCTTTCCTCCATGCATCATGGGTGCCTGTAAAGACCATTGGAACTATTGGGAGGCGCGTTTGCAATGCTAAATGAACAAAACCCTGCAAGGGAACACCCAAAAACGGGGAGGGAGTCATAATTGGTTAATTATATAGTATGAATGCAAGTTTGGAAAGGAGCAATGTATAATATCTTCACAATGGGCAACACACAGACGTTTTGAAAAACAACATCTGGGAAAGAAAAGATCCGAAGTTACAATTCAGTAATTCAAGGGATTCTTCTCTTACTTCATAGCTCTATCTGCAAGAATTATGATTCGATACTTATATCTGTTACGTTGGTCTTCGTAATATAACTAAGAAGTACTTGACAAAAGCAGAGAGGAAATCAGATCTTGCTTATGGCATCATTTGCAGCTCACTAGGCATGCATGGAAGGTTGAAAATCTCTATCAAGCAAGGAAATTTATCACTGAAGCATTTTCTCAATGAACAATAAAAGTCTTACAACAGAATTGCAACATATATATAGAACACGTTAAACGTAAATGATGTCAAGTGGGAAATAATTTCTCAAGTTCAGCATCATTCCAGAATGCGATGATGAAATTGTGAAAGCACATTTTGTTCAAGAAAATGGACAAATATTTACCTTTTTAAAGGGTAGTAATCGTCCATTTTTTGATCTAGTTCCCTCAGGAAAAATGACGAGTGACAGGTTGTTTTTCACTACTGCATAAGCTACCTGAGCACAAGAATCACTCGTTAGATTTATAGAATAGAGATATCATCAATAATATGGAGAAGTGGATGGAGAACCTCCTTCATGGATTGAATAGCTGCAGAAGGGTTGGAGCGATCTATTCGAAGATGGTTTGCCAATACATAAAGTTGTCCAAATAAAGGGTACCATATGATCTGCAAAAACAGAAGTATCAGTTATGAGGTCACATACACAGTCTAACAATGTCATCACTCATGAAACAGGGTGATTTTATTACAAGTAAGGAGGTAGCACCCAGAAGGGTGGTTTCTGCACGTTAATAGAGCTTACTGTGTACCTCTTTCTTTGCAATGCCAACAGTGCCCGTGGGAGTCAACCACATCATAAGGAAAACGTCTATAGGAGAAGCATGGTTGCAGACATAAATGGCCCTCTCATTTGAAAATTCGGTGCCTTCAATCCTGATAGGATTCCCTAAGATCCACATCTGCAATGAAAATTGTGTACTTTTAGACGGCCTCATTTGTTCAATACAATTAACACTCATCTCACTCCAAAGCAGTTAAAGGTTCCATTTCCAGGATCACCTAGCTCTGTTAACAGCTTATCAGAAGCTCGTCAACGTTTTTTTCCACTAGATTAAGTGCCATTTCAATTAATCTTCCACAATAGATTCTTCAGCATTAGAGGTAAGTTCTACATTGCTGAAATTGTTTGTTAGCCGAAACCGAATAATCTAACGACAAGATTGTAGTTCATGAAGCTTATTCTGTCTTGTTTTGTGAGCACCGCATAATACCTACCTGATTGAGCACCATATGTTTCTCAAAAATCTGCAGGAGATATGTCCCTATAATCAATACCAAGCCCCGGACCACTTTTGAGCAACAGAGAAAAGAGGTGCCTCTCCCTAGGATAACCCCAAAAAACTCATTTGTTATGTACCCTATATATAACATTTTGCATAAATTCAGTACGAGAGCAAAATTAAATATTCTGGATGAAAACTTGAAGATTGAATCTTTTGATGATAGAGCCCAAAGCAACCACAGTAACAAGTTCATAATTTGATGCACATTTTATATATATAGCAGAGAATAATTATTATGTTGTCAAGAAAACACCAAGCAATTTTACCAATCACTTTTAAAAGGCAATGTTGTTTGCTGGACAAGCAAGAAAAATTTGGGACCATCATTTATTATCTGGGACCTCAAATAAAATAAAATCATGAAACACAGAAACAGAGAGAAATTCACGAAGTGCAAAGATGTCCCTTTGTAATTAGAGCACAAGCAAGCATGAAAAACTAATATAACAAAACAATGGCACTTACCAGCATTCTACCAGTAACATGCCCATAAATATTTCCCTGCCTGATCCTCTCATAAGGCCATGGTAAGAGCAAGAGCAAGATCAAGGACCAAATGAATGTTGTGACCATCATTGACAAAAAACAAACCACAATCCTTACACAAGATATCAATACAGAAATCCACCCATCATCTTCAACATAAACATCACTCTTGGGACTTTTTACCACTTCTTCCCTCACCCAAATATTTGGGGTTTGTTTCCCATTTGGAGTGGAATTTGTATCGAAGAAGCTCTCCAATCTCCTGTTCCTCATGAAAGAACCACCTCCAGTATTGTCCATGACTCAATAATCAAACTCCTTGCAATGTTTCTATGTAGACGGCTCAGAAATTACCCTGTTCAAGACAAGGACAACAGATGGTTAGACAGCTTGATTCAACATAAACCAATGTATCTGATCGCTGAGACTAAACTGGAAAAAAATCCTAAAGGGCTTTGGATTATTTCAGTTCTTTCCCTCAACTTTCCAGGCAAGCAAAAGGAGGTAAATTTATTCCCAGCCAAAACATCAAGAAACTCAGTAGAACAAATGAAGAGACAAACAGCCAGTCAATACTCATGGAAACCGAGTCAACGACAGTAGATGAGACCAGTAGAAACCAATCAGTCGAACCAATAACTTTCTGTTTGGTTTGCAAGAAAATGAAAATAAACAACTAGCACCATCTTCTTTCTAATCCAAAAAGATAAAGAAACAAAGACAGTAAGGCAACCTTAGCTTATCTTTCAGTGCTCAAGAAAGCAAAGAGACAGAGAGGAGTCTATAAAGTCCAGCCAAGTCTATGCCTTATTATATTCATGGAGCTAGTAGAATTTTATGTGGCACACAATAAAAACCAGAAGCCAAAACGAAACAATTTTGACGAAGACCCACCAAACCGTACCTACCAAGAATGATATCTCAAAGAAAATTATGGGTACCAAATCAAAGAAAGTTCGAGAGTATGGCTGTATATAGACAGAGCTACAAGAGTATTTAATAAATGTTAAAAAACCCAGAAATGGAAATTAAACAGGTAAAACGAACATACTCTATAAAGATGAGTGCTTATGGGCGGATGTCAAAGAATTTAATCTACCAAAACAATTTGGAGTTGGCCTTTATTATAATCATTTAATCATTTAATACTTGAAGAATAAATATAATAATTTAATATATATATATATATATATATATATATATATATAATTTTCCTAAAACAAATTCTCATGAATATTCAATGGAATGAAACGTCTATTTTATTAATCTCTATTGTAAATTCTTATTTGATTTTCTCAAATTAATTATTTAAATTTTATTTTTTATATGATCACATGAAGACAATTAAGACACGTTTTTTGTTCTTTAATTGAAACTTGTCTATCATACCATGATAAGTTCTTATTTAAAAAATCATGCCACTAATAAAAAAAACTTCATGGTTTTATCAAAATACAAAAGAAATACATGAATAATAGAATGGAGTTTCAATTAAATAAATTCTTTTATCCCTATATAACTCATACAAGATTTTGTTTTAATTGCCTTAGTTACTATAACCTAAACAAAATTAATTAATCATCAGAAGCATGCAGAACATGAGTGAAAGGTTTCCCAGGTAATTTTATTTTATTCTTAAAAAAAAAAGAAAATAAATCCTTAAATGTTTGGTGGGGTCGTGTTTGGGTGGAAGTTGAGAGTTTGGAAATAAATGAAGGGGGAGATGTGTGATTCGTATTGCTTTAATGAATGAATGATTCCATGTTTATTTGACTGTATGACAAGTCAGTTTTCATGCTTTCTTCTCCTTCTTCTACAGCCAAGAATTAAAATAAAAATAAAATAATAACTTTTTATAATATTATTGAGTTTGAAAAATATATTTAGAGGTTCCTTATATGATTCCTTTTCTGTTTCTCAAATAAAAGAAATCTATACTGATAGATAGATAGTTCGCATGATGATTTCTTCATGATGTGTTCATATAATTCACCAGAAAAAATAAGTCAAATGTTTCATAGAAGCAGAGCACGTACTTTCTATTGAAAAGTTAATAATCTGGTGGCAGTCCAACGACTTTCATAGAAGCAAATCACATCGCAAACTGAGCAAGAGGAATGGAAGGAACGAGTCGTAGAAGATGCTCGCAGATAGTCCCACGGGAACAGCGCATGATGTCCAGCGCGTTTAGAACAAAAACCCAGTACCAAGAATGATCGCCTGCTCCTTGGAGCTTAATATACAGAATGTTCAGTAGAAAAAAGTTGGTTCTTTATGTTTTTTTTCTCTCTTAAGTGCTGTGCTTCCCTGTTTCATGCATCAGTTTTTATGTTTTTTTTTTCTCTATTTGTTTATCTAATGTAAATTAAACTATTATCTTTGTAGTGATTTTCTTAATAAAACTGAAAGAAAGAATGATCGACTGCTAAGAAGCAGAAAAGACTGTGCATCAGACAGAAAGTTTCAGAACACCAAAGTCAACAACACATGTACGAGGGACACAAAAGGGTTGTGAAAGGAGATGAATAGGCATTGACATGGTTTAAGTAGCCCAGTAGCCCAGAACAATGAAGGGAAAGGAAAAACAATCTAAAAACCCACAGCAAAAGCAACAATTACGGATAGGAACATCTAAAGTCTGTAGCAGAACCTTTGAAATATGAAAAAGAATGAAAACGAAGCCTAACCGTAGGAGTCTCCATTTCAAATTGAGCGCAGCGCATCAATAGTATTTAAAACAACAGATCAACATCCTCTACGTTGGTTGTTTGGTATTATAAATGTAGGTGAGGTTAACTTGTAGCCATAATTTTTAAGAATTAATAATGTTTTTATCATAATTTTTTAATGGTGGGTCTCATCATTACCTGCAGCGCAACCACATATTATCATAAGGGAAAATAGATGAATAGTGGAGCATGGCTGCAATGTTCATTTATTTTTTTAAATTTTACTGTTCTAGTTGGATCGGTCTGATTCAAAATTAAAAATATATTGAACTGAGTCTGACCTAATAAAATAAAAAAATATTTTTTTATTTTTAATTATATTTTATTCAAAAAACTAGTGTTAAACATTATTTAATAACTACATAAATTAGACGGAGATCGCTTAATGACGCCACATTTACAGAATTTGATCGCAATCTCAATTTTGTTTCTAATTATATTTTACCTGATATTGTTGTACTCTTAAGAAATTTGTGAAAATTATAGTCCTTATTGGATATATTTCATATGTGATGAAATTGTTAATAGTTTAATGGAACGATAAAAAATATTTTATATAAAGTATTATTTATTTGATGATGTAATAACAATAATTAAATATACAATATTTAAATTAAAAACCATCAATATTAATATATATAAATTTAAATTATTTTATAATCTCAATTTCAAAAACATTTTTAATCAAACATATTAAATTATTTTTTGTTCAACCTCAATTTCAACTACAGTTTTAACTAAACACCTTTTTTTTCAAACCAACCTCAGTTAAAAGTACTTTTTATAAAACAACTTTTTTTAAATCACAACCACAACAGCTACCGCAATACCAAATGTATCTAAAAGATACTTGTGCATGCATGATTTTGTAATGTCTCGTAAGAAAAAACTATAAATTATATATCTATTTACCGTAGAAAAAATAGCTTATTTTCATAATTGAATTAATATAATTAATATTCAAAATAAAGTTATGTTTAGGGTTTAACCTCAATATTTATAAAATTATAGTTTGTTATGTCCATTCTATGATGCAGCAGTGAAGATCATTTAGGACGTCATGGGCTCAAGAGACATCATAAAGAGATCGACAGGTAATATAAAGAACCTTATTGAAAAGAATTAGTTAGATCAATTTCCAAGGAGATTGAGATGTATATAAATATCATGATGAGAGAGACATGCTTAGAGTTCCAGCTTAGGTTGAAAAAAATTCCATATTCATTTCACTATTAGAAAATCAATGAAAACTAATGGAATTACCAATAAAAAAATTTTATCAGTAATTTTCACCAATAGTAATTCCATCTCTAATTCTGTCGGTATATACCAACTGTATCACCAACGGATTATATAGTTTTTTTGTTGAAAAGTTGCAACGATGTGATGATGTGGATTTTTTTCAGACGATTTTACCAACGGAATGACCTAGAGATTCAAATAGGGATCTTCATACAGTGATGTGGCATAGTCACTAATATAACCAAAAAATTGATGTTTTTCCTAAGTGTAGGAGTGTCGAAGTAATAAATAACCCGGCAAGACCGAGGTCGAATCACATGGAGGTTAATTGTATAAATTATAGATAATAATAATACAACAATAACAATAGTAACAACAACAACAACAACAACAATAATAATAGTAGTAGTAGTAGTAGTAGTAGTAGTAGGAGGAGGAGGAGGAGGAGGAGGAGGAGGAGGAGTAATAGTAATAGTAATAGTAATAGAAAAAGAAGAAGAAGAAGTTGATGAGAACTTTGAGATGAAAGATTAACATAAGGATTAAACAATGATAACAACAAATATCAAGGTTAGAGGATCCACTAATGGTATGTCAAACAAGTATAATATAAACTCTTATTATTCAATTGGTTACACACAAAGGAGGTTCCAATCAAATTATAAATGGTTAACATAATTACATTAGTTATCTTATTCGATTAATGCTAATACTTGTAAATCTTGTCAGACATTCATGATTATAACTTATGTTAACAACAAATCAAGTTCTTTTCATAGCTCAGTTGTCTGTTATACCATACAGTATGAGCTATAAAAGTGCTAAACATTTGTTGTACCAAGTGTTATACAACATAAATCTAGATTAGTCATTTAACAAGCAAAATATTAAAGAGTGAACAAGATAACAAATATAAAACATGTTAGTATTAAACATTAAAATCCATGTTAGGTTTACACTATACTTATTCTTACACCATTAGTATAACCTTTTCACCTTGACATAATAAACTTAACTAAACATAATAAAAAAAAGAAAAATAAATAAATAAAATGGAACATAAATAAGATAAAAGTTAAATAAGTAAAGAAAAAAAAAAAGAAAGGCATGAACAAGATATTAATGAAAGCAAAACTTAAGCATTACAAAAATACAAAGAAAGAAAGCAAATGCATGATCTTGATCTGGAGATCAAATGCCTAAATGCATGGAAAATACCTCTTTTTATAAGCCAAAATTAGGAACTATTGATTTGATAACTAATTGATGAGGGGGGCCAACTTTTGACTTGGTGACAATCCTTATCTTCTTTTGTATGCCCAAAATGTCATTGATAACGTCAGAATTGGAACCACTTGAAAACATGAAAGTTGTAAGAAACTGTCTCCGCTTTTTTCGAAAAAAAAATAGAGGTCATTTAAAATTTTATAACTCCAGATATAGGTTAAATACTGAATAGTGTTCAGGCTGTATGACAAATTTAGACTTCTTTGTTATTGCTATAATTTGGACTTGAAAATGACTTTTTAAAATCTTGGGCTTCCATGAAAGTTATAAGCCTATGTCTTACCTTTCCATTGATATAAAGTAGACCTAAATCCGAGATCTACAGCTCCGGATATGACCCAATTACCGAACAGTGTTCTGATTTGGACTGCACCAGCATCTCTTTTCTAAGTTTGGCCATCTCTTTGTCCTTTCAATTTTAGTTCTTAAACTCATCAATCAATCTTTTCATTTATGTGATAGGCCTGTATTTAAAATGAATATTTACCATAAATTAAAGGTATCTTATATTATTAGATATGTTATTATAAAACATGCTTTAGTTAAGGAGTTATTGATACTTTAAGTGCAAAATGATAATATAAAACCTTAATAAAAATACATTTTTAAGTACTAATTAGTCATCGGCAAACTCATCGATGGGTAAACCGACGAAACATGTCCGTCGGTGATTCCATCGGTAAAAACGAATATATACCCACTTTACCGACACTTTCTTCCTCTATTTCTCCTTTTTCTTCTCTTTCTTCCCCCTAAACTGCAGCCAACCACCTATCCTAACTCTCCCCTCCAAAACTGTAGCTAACCACCTATCCCAACTGTCCCCCTCTTTTCAACACAAGCACTCAAGTTTCTTATACTTTTGTATGCAATCATAACATCCATTCTCCGAGCAATTTATTGTGGATTTTATCATTTTTTTAAGTAAATCTATCCTTTTTAGTTTTAACATTTAAATGTCAATTTTATTATTTTTTATTTTTTTAGTATATGTATTTTGTTAACGTATGTACTTGTTTGATTGTTATTTATCAAACAAACTTGTAGTATATATGAATGTATAATTTTATAGTTATTATAGTTTGTTTTAGATTTTGTCAAATTGTATTTGTTTGTAAATTGAAGAAACTTTGTTTAAATTACACCAAATTAGATGTGTTGTGATGAAATAAATAATTGCTTGTTTAACGAGTCCGTTTTAATTTTTATCAATTATATTATGAAGTTGAGATTTCTATAAATTTATATATGTATATATTTGTTAGGACGTTGATAGTTGAAATTGATAATAAATATTTAACATAAGTGTTTTTTTAGTTTGTTAGATAATGTTGGGGCAAACCAATATTTTTATAAATTTATTTATGTAACATAGTTAATTAATATATATTGTTGCCATAATTTTATAAAGGCTCGATATAAGTAGTGGATGATTGTTCATGGATGTATCGGAACTCATCCCAAGGATTATAGGGGATGAATTATTATAATTGGGTTTAAGGTTTTATTAATTTCACAACATCTATTCCAATGAATTTTACTGATGGCGATATTAGGTGTTCATATAGGAAGTATAAAAATAAAAAGTTTTTGCATTATGATGTTGTAGTGATGCATCTTTTAACCAAAAGGTTAATGGAGGATTATCTGTGTTGATATGCACATGGAGAACTATTTGTTCTTAATGAGAACATAGTATAAAGGGTGGCTATGTCAACTTCTATTGTTAGCAATGTGCATGAAGTTAAAAATGACAACAATGATCCTTATAGGAATATGATTATGGATGTAATGAGAATGAGTGAAAGTAATGTCAGTGAATGTCCAATCGTAGAATAAGAAAATAATGCAGATACAACAAGGTTTTTTGATCTGTTGAAAGATTCTGATAAACCATTATGGGATAGCTGCACGAACCACGGTAAATTATCAGTCGTAGCACATGTGTTCACCATCAAGTCAGATCACGAGTTAAGTGAGGTCGGTTATGTCAAGATTATCGAATGGGTGAGAAGCATTTTACGTGAAGGGAACAGGCTAAAAAAGAACTTCTATGCTGCAAAGTCCATGTTGAAATCCCTTGATTTAAGTTATCAGAAAATTGATATATGCTTTAACTTCTGCATGTTATACTACCTTGAAAATGCTAAGCTGATCAAGTGCATGACATGTGGTCATTTCTATTATAAACCTAGAACTAGCAAGGAAAAGACTCTCGTGGCATATAAAAAACTTAGATACTTCGCAATCACACCTAGATTGCAGAGGTTATTTATGTCACTAAGGATTGTTGAGCACATAACATGACACTATTCACATCATGTGGTTGATGGAATGATGGTGCATCTTCCTAACAACAAAGCATATAAACACTTTAATAGTGTGCATCCTCACTTTTCAGTGAAATCAAGAAACATGCGTTTTGGGTTGTATACAGATGGATTCAACCCATTCAAGTCATTTGCTACTCTTTATTCTTGTTGGTCGGTCATACTGATGGTTTATAACTTGTTAATGGGGATGTGTATGAGGCCAGAGTTCATGTTTTATCTATAGTCATACCAAGTTTGAGCAGTACAGGGCAGAATAGAGATGTTTGTCTTCGACTATTGATTGATGAGTTGACACAATTATGGTCCTCTAGAGCTTTGACTTTTGATATCTTAAAGAAACATAATTTATTATGAAAGTAGCTTTGATATAAACTATCAATGATTTCCCAACTTATGAAATGGTTTCTGGTTGGAGCACGCATGGAAAACTAGCATGTCCATACTATGTGGCGATCAACAAGGCATTCACATTAACAAACAGGGGCAAAGCTTTTTTTAATTATTATCACCGTCGTTTCTTGCCACCAAATCATAGGTATAGAAAGAACATAAAGGATTTCTTCATTGATAGAGTTGAAAAAAATTTTGAACCCCTGTGTGTTTCTAGTGAAGAATTGCATGATGTTGTGTCAAAGTACGGTGACTGATACAACCATATTATTCGATAGTTTCACCCACATTTAACTAGTGTTTTACCTATTTTTTTATATAAAATGCCTTAATATTATTTTTTTTTATGTTTTGAAGGCTTTTTTGGATGAAAGTTGCAAAAATAAGTAAATTGGATGTAATTGGCAGATTTGACTTTCAATCAATGTTTTGTGCAGAGCGTGAGCTCTAAAGGTCGAAATGAAGTGATTTTAGTGGCATTAAAAAGCTAACATCTATAGCTTTCTGTAAATCTAAGGCAAGAAAATAAAATAAGAAAGAGCATAAAAATTGCAGCCTTCAAAGTCAAATCTCGCAATCTGCCAGTGTTGATCTTCGACCATTCCACCTTAAATATATAGAGCTAAAGAATTCCAATTGATGCAAACTTAATTGTTTTAGATTCTTAACTCAAAGTTCTATAAACACTCCAAATTTCAACCAAAAAAGATGTCATATGAGGGAGATATTATTTTTTAAAAATGACAACTAAATTCCGCTAGCAAAAAGGTTTTGTGGAGAAACGAGTCCAAATTACGATCCGAAGCATCTATAACTTGCAACCTTTTTTTTCCTTATAGGCTATGTTTTTTGGACATGAATCGAGCCCAATAGAGTTGTTTGTAGAAACGTATATGCGGAGTCAAGACCGCCAAAAAGGGGTGCAACAATTTACAGACAACCATGCTTAACACTTCGTAATATGTTCGTTCAATCATTTTATTTTGTAAGTTATTATTTTCTTAACTTGAATATGATAATTTTTTTTTTAAAAAAATTAGGAGATCTATAATAGTCAGTTGAGGGAGAGATACGGGGATGATTCTTTGACCCATTCAGATTTCGATCCAGATTTGTTAATGGACGTAGGATCGTTTGATGGACTTGATAAAACTTGGGTCTATAGGCTCTCTAACACTATGGTTGAAAACTTATAGTTGGCTTCTAGTGTCTCATCCGTTAGGAGCTCTCCATCAGTATTGAGCAACCAGTTTGAAAAGTTCATGGCCTTGAAACAACAATATGAACAACTCTCGATGAATTATGATTAGCTCCATTAAATGATCATGGAGATGAGATCAATGATGATTGATGATACATGTGCAACCCCTTTTTAGCCGTACGATCCCAGGAACAACTAGCATCCTCTTTCTCCTCTAGCTCCGCCGTTATTCTAATTTAATTTTGTTTTTAAAACACATTAAATTTATAATAAATATTTGAATGAATTTTATTTAACATTATTTTTATATTTTTAATGTTTAATACAATTTTATTTGGTTAATTAGTTTTTTTTACTATTAGTAAATAAATTTTTTAAAAATATTTTACGACCTTACAGATGGAACCAGGCCATTTGTATTTTACCGAGAGTTGCAAAACCAATTACCACCCATGCCATAAACACCGACATATATAGTCTGTCAGTGTTTATCGTCGCTATTACCTACAGAATATATCCATTGGTTTTTTACAAAGAGTTTTAAAATATTTACCGTCCATACCACAATCACAGATGACCATTCCGTCGATGATTACTATTGAAAATACAAACGTAATTATTTTGTCAATAAAGTTTTCACATGAAATTTTTTTAAGCTCTTTGTCGTCTATAAGACTATTAGTATTTGTTTTTTTTTATTTGCAACAAATTTAGCAATGGAACGAGGAATTATCGATGGATGTATGTCGTCAGTGATGCCACCGGTAAGAATTTTACTGATAAATTATGAGCCTCACACTGACAGAATGAACCCATCGGTAAAGCTATTTAATGGTGTAGTGTTTTCACAAAACCATATAGATATCATCATTATATGATGAAATAGAGAGTGTTGTTTATGAGAAGTAAAGCACTGAAGTCTTAACTATAGTTAAACTTTTCATAGATATGTTTTTTATTATGATGATTTTTTAATTAATGATAATTTTTTTAAGAAAGAATCTGTTAGATTGTTATATGAGAGATGGAAGCATATTTTATATTTAAAAATTTCTAATGGTCAAAAGGTTGGATTTAAAATAAACAAATTTACGATGCTGAAAATTGGTAAGATTATAAAATCCTTATTGGTAAGCCAAAATTTTCATTACAAAAAACTATTAGAAAATTTTTAATTTTAGAGTTTGTACAAGATTATTGCAAACAAATTTTATACTAGAGATATAAACAATTAAATTGGTATTACCTTTTTTATTTCATTTAACATTTTTTCAAATAGTAAAGAGACAAAATATAAATGGTAGAGCTAGGTTTGAAAGACTTTCTCCTAAGATGAATGGATTATGTTTGAAGGTTGATTACAATCAAGGAATATATTTGTTTCTGAAAATCAAAACTGTTGTTATCATTAATTTATGAGGTGTTTGAAACAATGTGAAGGATATAATTAAAAAAATCTCTTATTTTTAAATTTCAAAGCTAATTAACACATGGCACTAAATATAAATTGGCAGAAAGAATTGAAAAGTAATTTCAATATTTTGATATCAGGTTGGAAAAGATAAAAACATACTGTGATCCCTCTCCATTGCAGATATTACCCATCTTGCAAACAAGGACAAGAGTATACATAAATTTTGGAAAGTTTCATGGAGACATTATAAAATATACAAAGAATGAAGACTTAGTGAGACAAAGTTATTTTTAAAAAAAGTTTAGTTATGACTAGGACAAGAATGTTGTTTATGAACAAGGACAAGAGTTATTTAAAAACCCTTTCGGTTGAAAACCTTTTTTCACTAGGACAAATTCAAATTAATTCGGATTGTATCCTCATTATTCTCGGAAAACTATAAACTAAGACAGCTAGCTGTCTTAACCTATCCGGTTTGTAAAAGGATTTGTTATTTGCCTGGCTTCTCTCTCTCTCTATCTTTCTCTCTATAAATATAGCCATCCAGATATGTCACGAAGCCATCTACTTTCTCAAGTGTCTTGGTTAATTTTGTCTCAATCTCTCATTGCAGTCTTGGTTTTTTAGTTTCTTGCCATATTTTTGTCTTCCCGTATTTGTTGAAGAAGAGATAGAAAGATGGTGCTCACGCCTGGCATAAACTATCATCCATATTTTGATGATGTTGATGAATATTATCTAGGGCTTAGTAAGGAAACAGAATATGAAAAAGAAGCGTCAAATCCTCTGGAGAAGGAATTCGGGGGTCCGTCCATGCTGGTTACCAGCGCCGAAAGATATCAGCTTTTGAAGACCCTGGCCAGTATGGTTTTCGTACCCAAGAAAAGAAGAGGAAGTGGAAGACTAGGGTTTACTTCCATGAAAACCCAATGTCCTGATCAAAAGGCCGAGAGCACTACTATCAGCATTGATGAATTTGCAAACCCACTCCGAACTATTCTTGTACCAAAGAAAATAAGGGCAAGTACACCCAAGCTTGTCAGGAAAAACAATCACTGCATCAGATTCGGTCAAGAAGATCATCTTCTTTTGAGAACGGAGATCAAAAGTAGCCAGGAGAAAAAGACAGCAGGCAGAAAGCGAGTCTTGAAAAGCCAAGGGATCGACGTCGAAGATGATATTCTTCGACAGAGATCATCAAAGAAGATGGGAAAGAGGGTGGATTTCAAGAAGCTGGGTTTGTGTCCACCACCCGATTTCTCTTCTCAAATAAAATCCGCGATAAATTATCAAGAAGGCCGTGACAGTGAAATCAAGTTAAGGATAATGAAACAAATCTTCAAGACTGACATGGACAAGCACCAGGAACGCTTCTCAATGCCTTTGAATCAGATTAAGGACGGCCATGAGTTTCTGAATAAAATGGAGATGGAGGAGGTGTGCCGAAGCGAGAGCAAGAGCACAGAAGTGAAGCTGGTGGAACTGGGTCTTGAAGGTGGTAACGTTCATCAAAGCACAATGAGGCTGAGGAGGTGGCAGATGAATAACACCGTTTCCTATGTGTTAACCTCCAACTGGAATGATGTTTTGGATAGGAATGCGGGAGCGCTAAAGGTGGATGATATTGTCCAAGTCTACTCTTTCAGGCGTGATCAGAAGCTATGGCTTGCGCTCGTCAAGGTTATGGATGCAGATAATCAAAGCCGGCAATGGCCGAGGGAACAGTGAGGACGGTGCATACTGGAAGTGGAAGTCAAGCCATCGTGGACTCTGCTCACCATCAGTCATAGAGTAGATCACAGGGACAGCAATTTTATGGTGTAGCAGATCAAGTAATT